CAATGTATAATTAATAATTTTTTAAAAATACTCTTAATTAAGAGGCATAATTAATAATATTTTTACATTGAAACACCTTATTAAATAAGGTAGCATTGAAAGAGTGAGTAATTTTAAAGATAATTAATTAATTAATTTAATGAAAGTGTAATTCAATTAAAAATGCCTAGTAATATTGAAAGTATCAAATATCTTATACTTCTTTGCCCCAAAAAAAATCTTATACTTCCTGTTTATATCTAAAATTTCATGTCATTTCATCATATTTTTCCTACATTCTAATCCATTTTGATTCATTTGTATATATTTTTATTGTCTAAATTAAAAAAAATGTACATTTTGCTTTGAGTTTGTATTCTTGACTTTAATTTGATACTTTTGAACTAATTTGTGTTATTTTGATTTAAGATTTGATTGGATGCATTTTTGAACTTTTGTTGATGCTTTTGGAAGGTTTTTGGATGAAAAAACCAAATTCAAAAAGAATAAATTTTGTTAACTGTGAATACAGTTCAAGACTGCTAGAGTCATTAAAAAGTCGCGACCTTTGTTAGTGACTTTTACCATTGTCAAAAAAATGCTATGTTTTATTTATTAAAAATTGGTTGGCTAGGACATACAAATGTTGAGAGCTCGACCCAAAACGTATTTTTCAGACTTTGAGCAACTATTTGGAGCTTTATGTGTTAGGGTTTGGGCATTGAAAGAGTTAGGTCTTAAAAATAGTTTTAAAGACATTTGAAACTCTTTTTTTTTAGTTTTTCTATTCCTTTTCCCTTTCTTCTATTATATTCTGATGTGGGTTCAAATATTTTGTGTGTTTGTATTTTTTGAATGATTATGAGTAGCTAAATATTTTGTTCTAATGTTATTTAAAACTTTTGTATGGATTAACACTATGTTCCTTATCTCTTTTTGTGATTAATGATGTGTGTGTGTGTGTGTGTGTGTTTTTTTTTTTTGACTCTTTTCTTAATGCTTCTAAGATTGATATTTGGATGTTAGGTTCACTTGATTGATACTTGAGAGGGCTAGGTTGAATGTAAAACTTGGATAAAATAGTGCAAGAACTTGATATTTGCATGTTGAATGGATGGTTTTGCCAGTAAGATAGAGATATAATTGCTAGCCTTGCATAACTACATTAGGGTTAAAGCTAAAAATTGAGTTTTATTAATTATAACAAGAGATTGGATAATTGATTTAACTAAACACTTGTTTATAACTTGAGAGAGCTTGTCTAAGTATTTTTAAAACCCTACATTAGCACTTATTTTTATTAAAAATATTTGGTGAAAAAGGTGATTTTTATGTTATGAAATATAAGAAGGATAAATAATCCTCAGTTTAAATTTGTGCTTGAAGTTTGTGAATTAATTTATTTTTTTATTTTCTAGTCTTAATTTATTTTGCAAAATCACGTTTTCCTAATTATGCTTGGCTCAACTTAATTGAACTCATTTAGTCTTTTGTTTGATAACTATTTTTAAACAAATTTATAAAGGAATGATACTTTACTTTTATTATATTACTTACTATGACATGTGCGCTTGCGATAAGCAATAAGTTTTTGGCGTCGTTGTCGAAAATTTGGCATTAAAAATATTTTGCTCAACCTTAGACTGGTAATAATAAATTTCAAAACATTGTAACTTTCATTTGTTGTGTGTTTTTGCTTCCTCTTGTTCCTTGTTGTTTTCTTGTGTTCTTGTTTTTGTGTGTTTTTGTTATTTTTCTTATGTATTCCTTGCACCATGAATTAATTTGCAATTTTTAAGGAATTGTAGATAATATCTTGATAAAAAAAGTTTGACTTTTCAATTTTATCCTTCACTAAAATTAATTATCACAATAAAATGTTTCTAGAAATTACAACTTAATTGGTGATATAGAAGAGAAATATTGAAAAAAAAAACTAAATACTATATCTTTCCCTATCCTTAAAACTGAGTAAATTTTTAGACTTTACCTTATAATTAAGACTAGAGAGAGTGTATATTTTGATTGAAGCAAACATGATTTCAAGAAAATAATGCTTGCATGTATTGAGATTTGGATTCAATGAATAGTTTAAATGCACTCATTCAATGAGTATCTCAATTACATTCATTACATTTCATCAATATTTAAAAATTATTAAGATATATTTTTCTCAAAACATTCAAAACAATATCCTCACCATCAAAACACTTCTTATCTATATTATTCCCTTAAAAAAATTGAGATTTAGTCATTTTTGAGTATTATATGAAAAAAAAAAAATCTAACAGCTGTTGAATTAAATCTACAAAGTCCCAAAGTAAAGAGAGGGAAAAGGGGAAGATCGTCAGGTTGTGAGAATTAATGGGAAGGTCGGCGTAGTTTGGTGAGGATGGGTTTGGATGCCCTGCCGTCAATGCCACAGCCTTCGGCACTAGCTGACAAATTTTAGTGACTCCCACTCCTTAGTTAATACAATCCCCATCTTCCTTATTTATTAGCACTTTCCAATTTCAATTCATGCTTCTCTATCTATGTATTCATGTTTCTATCATCAGCTTCCCTTCTTCTTCCTCGTTTTCCACAGCCACTCTCATTCATCCATATATTAACATTCCATCTACCGCCCACTCAATCTTCAATTTCATCTTTCTTTTTCCTTCCTTATTTACTTGTATTTTCAACCTAAAACAACAATACATTCAACTCCTGTTCACTAAACCTCACCATGAATGTATCTTTTCACTGTTTACTTCAACTTTTAAAATTTTCATTTATATGTGTGTGTATGTCTGTATGTATATTGTTGTTGTGCATACACATCTAGTGAGATAAAATTTAAGGTGAATCACATCTAATGCCTAATACATTATAAATTGGTTTTATAGGCCCAAAAAATGCCCCAAATACAAGTATGTTTCTTCATGAAAAGACACATTTATCCCAAATGTAAAATTTTCCAAGGTGTATATATATTCAACATAATGCCTATAAAGAACATGATAATATCCATGCATAAACAATATAATATCTGTTTGTTATACATAGTGCATTTAATTAAGGGTAAATGCTTCTTTTGATGAAGAAACATATTTGCATGTAAAGGCTTGCAAAAGTAATTTAGAATGTATTGGGCCTTATTAGGCGCAACTTTTATTTTAGGGATCTTAGGTATGATTTTCTCAAAACTTTATTATTATTTTTGTTGTATAATATTACACACACACACAGTGTGCCTAGTTTTGTGCCAAAGGTCTATTGGTCTAGTAGCACCAAAACCTCTATTCGTGAGGAAAGATTATAGTTTTTTAAAAAAAGGTCAGTGTGGTGTGGATGCGCGTCTCTTTCTTTTGTTTTTGTTTTTAATATAAAAACCGTGTTAAAAGATAAAATTGTAAATGTGCATGTGTATATATAACTATTTTTACCCCAACATCTTCACGAGGGAAATAGTTCGTCCTCATTCGATGAAACTGTCAAAGATACATGTGCGTGTTTGTTTAGTACTATAATTGCCATTTTTGGGGCCCAAGTCCAAAGACGAAAGATTTTACTTATAATTTTTTAATTATGAAAATGTTAGAAATTGGAGAGTTAGTCATGGCCACTTCCAACCTCACCACTCACGTAGTAATATAAAAGAAGCGGGGCAAATTAAAGAGAACAAAATGATAATATGAATCCCATGGGCCAAGGTTTGAGAAGGCCATTACCATCAAGATTAATTCCCACCTCTCATCAATCACGTCAACGGCCAATATTAATTTTCATCATTTTCCAATATCACCCACGCTTTAATTTCATTAAGCCTGTCACACACATCCTGCAACACTCTCATCAAGATTCTCTCATGCATCAAGTCATTGACATGTATATTTCTCATCATCTTCTATATATCTTTGACGAACTTAATTAGCTTTCGGGCTGTGTGTGTATGCCCACTTTTAATTTCATTTTTTTTTTTCATATGGTAGCCTAAATCCTGCACTGTACTCTCACTTTCTACTCTATACAATTTCCTTTCTATTTTCATGACGTCACTTGTATTTTTTATTTTCTTGCATCTTAAGAAATTAAATTGTGGCAAAGGATTTCAAGTCACTCATAATTTCTTGTTGAAGTTAGATTTTATTAATGATACAGATTCGAGATCTGTTGGCATCTGGTGTGTGAGTGTGTGCATGAATGAAAAGGAAAAGGGAGGAAATTAAAGGGGGAATAAATACAAAACATAATTTCTTCAACCAAAAAAAAAAATCTTGTCGGTCGAATTATTTTAGATTGAAGGTAAACAAATATTCTTTTTCTTTAAATTAAATTACACATATATATAAAAGTTATATTGCATATGCACTTTATTTCTCTAAAAAAAAAAAAATCTATGCACAAACATTCATTTCTTATTTTTTTTTTAATTGTCGTTATCCTTTTTACCTCTATCTATATCATTAATATCACGGTGTTTCCTTATCTCTCGTGTCTAAAATCAACTTTTTGATTTTCATCTTTCCCACTTTATCACTTCATCTTATCTCTTCTCTGTTTCTTTATTTCTAAGGGTCATCCACGCACGAAATGATTTCTTCGGCAACTTTATTAAATTTTCGTGCATTTTCTTGCTCCAAAAAAGGAAACTAAAATTTATAAAGGTCATATTTTTCCTCATGACCACCGCAGGTTTCAAATTCCGTCATTGTATCTACAATACATAAATTTTATAACCATTTTATATAATATCTTCTTCTAGATGTTGTGGTATTGGGCACGCGAAAGATAAGCTTGATAAGATCTAACTTTATAACAGAAAATTAAATTAACTGAGTTATTACAACTCTATTGCTATAATTTCTCCTGTGCCCCACCCCAATACAAAGTCAAGATCGACTTCGCTATTCATACTTTTATTACTATGTGTATATACATAAATTGGATTCCCTGCATGCTTACTGCGGCTGTGCCCCATTGTTACTTGTTATCTACAGTTTCATCCACAAAACGAACAATTAGTAATGGCTTCCGATTCAAAACTGCAGGCTGAGAAGAAGACGATGATCCCAATTCACATTGGTCAAAGATAAAGCAGTAGCTGCAATATGCTTTGAAGTCAATCCTGCAACTTCAATCTGATCAATCTGAGAACCATGGTCAATGTATCTATCAGGCAGTGTCATCGCCCTCCACTGCAGCAACGTAACCATACAAATAATTAACTCAAGTCTTAATACTCTATACTGTGACATGCTTCCAGTTGAACAAGGGTGATGGAATAATAGAGAAGTTCAGATTGTAAAATGGCGATACCTTGAGATTTCCATCAAGCAGTCCATATAAGCTTAGGAAATGGGAAACATGAGAACCAAATCCTCCAATAGATCCCTCTTCAACAGTGATGAGAATTTCGTGGTTTCTAGCGAGTTCCCTGATCAAGCCTCGATCCAAAGGCTTACAGAATCGCGCGTCAGCCACTGTCGTTGATACACCCAAAGCTTCAAGGATTCTTGAAGCTCTAACGCAGTTTTGGACCACTGATCCATAGCCTAAAAGGGCCACCCTGCACCCTTCCTTCAAAACTCTTCCCTTTCCAACCTATAAATGCATTTCAAGTAGTCTCACTTAGAAGATTAGTTAGGGTTAAAGCTATTTCATTGCTGTAATTCTAAGCACTGTGATCATGAGTTATTAAGTAAGTACCTCCAACGCTGTCCCTTTGTTATTTGGTGGGAGAGGCGTACCAATTCCATTTCCTCGAGGATAGCGAAAGCAACTCGGCCTGTCATCTATAGCTACAGCCGTAGCAACCATATGCATTAGCTCGGTTTCATTCGATGGCGCCATAACCACCATGTTTGGAAGACATGCCATAAACGTAGTGTCAAAAGCCCCACAATGTGTCGGACCATCAGCTCCGACGAGGCCAGCTCTATCCATGGCAAATCTCACTGGTAGTCTTTGAAGGTCGACATCATGAGCTACCTGCACGTACAGTCACGTACACAATGCCAATCAGACAACGATGATGAACGCACACATTTTTAAACCATTCAAGGGATTGATATTGATTATCGAGTGAAACCTGATCGTAGCCTCTTTGTAGGAACGTAGAGTAGATTGCACAAAAGGGCTTAAAGCCTTCAGTAGCAAGCCCAGCAGCGAAGGTAACAGCATGTTGCTCTGCGATTCCAACGTCGAAACACCTATCGGGGAAGTGCTTTTGGAAGAGGTTAAGTCCGGTGCCTCCTCCCATGGCAGCGTGGATGGCCACGATTCTGTCATCAAGCTCAGCTTCTGCTATCAATGACTCTGCAAAGTACTGGGTGTAGGAAAGCGTGGTTGTTTTGTTCTTCTGCTGCTTCCCTGACCTAGGATCAAACTTGACAACCCCTACATACAAGAGACACAAACCCTGCATCTTTAGTTCATTTACAGTGATCATATAACAATATCAGAAACACAAGATGATAGTAGCAAATTACACTAGTCATATAGCTATACCGTGCATTTTGTCAGGAGCAAGTTCAGCTGGGCGATAGCCCTTTCCTTTCTCGGTGATGGTGTGAACGAGGACAGGCCCCATAAGTGGCGAGTCGTCCTTGAGCTTTTTAAGAATAAGTACGAGGTCTTCCACGTTATGGCCATCAATTGGCCCAATATAGTACAGCCCAAGCTCTTCAAACAAATTCACACCAGAGCAACCTACGATCCCTCTCACAAAGGTATCCAACTTTGCAGCAGCCTCATGCGTCTGGCCTCCAATTTGCTTCGTGATCCCCTGGCCATTACCAAATTTTAGGTTTTTCATCAAGTTCTTGGGCTTATAATGTCCAAAACGGGTTTAGAGTTAAGACATGAGAGAACGTTATTATTACGTACCTTAGCCGCCTCACGTAACTGAAGAAACTTTGTATTGTTTTGAAGCTTGGTCAGGGCTCTGCTTAGGGCTCCAACAGGTTGAGCCGGACCATCAACGGTGGCTGTGGGAAGAGAGACCTGTTCGTTGTCATTTAAGATGATAATAAGGTTGGTGTTTAAGAAACCAGCATTGTTCATGGCCTCGTAGGCTTGTCCTGCTGTAAGGGCTCCATCTCCTATCACAGCAATCACGTGGTTTTTCTTCCCCATCAAGTCCCTCCCCACTGCCATCCCTGTTAGCCACACACAAGTTAGAAAGTTACAAATGTCAACGCAGGGCTCCTTCTTCTTTTTATAATTATTATTTTAAACAAAAAGTGGGCTATATGGCACACAAACTTTTTTGGCCCATGGGTCCATTTTTGGGCCTATGACTATGAGTCTCTTGGACTTGATAATTCCAGCAAAAGAAGCCTCGTGTGAAACGGATTTGAGGTGTTTATTCTCCTCTCTCATGTCTTAAATCTCAACCTTTTATTTCTGCTAATTGTCACATAAATCTCAACTAATTTCTCTAAATGAAGAGTAGAGATTTGGAGCATTAGAACAGTACACACTCCAAATCTGTGGGAAACAAGGAAAGAGCGGAGAATCTAACAGAAATGATTGAAGAATAATGAAGAATGAGATGATATACCTAAACCAGCAGAAATGCTAGTAGAGCTATGACCTACTCCGAAAGCGTCATGAACACTCTCGTCCCTCTTTGGGAACCCAGCAAGTCCATTAGTCTGTCTGATCGTATGCATTCTCGCTCTTCTTCCTGTCAATATCTTATGCCCATAGCACTGCGACAATCTCATAATAAACACACAGACACACACATTAAATGGACTCAGAAATTAATGCAAGAAACGGTTAATTTAATTTGTTTATTACCTGATGACCAACGTCCCAGATGATCTTGTCCGCTGGACTGTTGAAGACGTGGTGAAGTGCTACGGTTATCTCTGCCACCCCGAGGCTCGCACTTAAATGCCCTCCTGTCTTTGACACTATGTACACTATCTCTTCTCTCAGTTCATTCGCAAGTTCTTGCAGTTCCTGCATTTCAGAATTCAGAGTTCAATGTCACTGTCACGCTCCCAAAACGCACCTCATTTAACTAATCTGGTCAATGCAGCTTGATCTGTCTTCATCGGTCCAGATAAATGAACATTAATAATGAATGCGGTTAATTAACTAACTAAATCCATTTTGTCAGTTTACTTCGCTCGGACCTCAATGGACAGATTCTTCAAGTGAATTGGGTGGTTGATGGTGTCCAGGATGGGAGTGAATGGCTTCTCTCCTGAGAAGTTCAGACGTCTCTCTCTCTTAAGCTTTGGACCATCACCGTCCTGTCTGCTTTCTTGGGGTTTCTTCACTTCCTCACCCTCACAAGCATTATCCACTTGTTGAGCTCGTATCGTTCTCTTCATCTGAAAAACATCGAACACGAATTAACGTTAAAATATTTACCAGCACAGACAGAATTAATCTACAGAGATTTTTGGTCTTTCTTATTCTTCTGAACTAGCAAAATCGAGATCAGCATACCCTTTGAAAGGTGGAGCCAGGGATTTGGGTTCTGAGATTTGGAAAGCAGGATTTGTTATACTCATGTGACTGAAAAAGGGGAAGGAAGGTGGTTCGGTGAACAGAGGAAGCCATTGTTGAAGCAGAAGAAAATATGTCGTCAGGAGGTTGGTGGCAATGACGAGGAGAGAAAATGGTGAGAGTACGTCGCCACAATACAGTGACACGCTCAAATGGCTTTTGTGGTTCTGAGATACGAGGATTGAGGAGGGTTTCAGGTCAATTTATAGCCAAAGTACTTGGTACAAAAAAAAAAAAAATTGTAGGTTTGACTAGATCTGTCGAAATTATATTTCTCCACCATTGCATTTAATGAGTTGCTTCTTCCAATTTTATGGTTGTTGATGCTGACTATAATGCTATTAAGGCTAGAAAATTTTTTTAATATTATAAAATATTTTTAACTGAATTATATTCTTCAATAAGTTAATTAATTGTTAATAAATTATATATTTTTTATATTTATCTTTATTGAAAAATCTTGTTAATTGCACCTTCTAATTAAAAGTATTTTTTAAAAAAATTATTAATTATGTCTTCAAAAATTTAAAGTATCTTATATTTTTTAACAAAATGCTTTATATTTTTAATGGAAATTTATTTCATTTCCCTCTTATGAATTGGCTGACATTAGACAAATAGAAAATTCCAAATTCACGTCACAAGAAAATATTTCAATTTTTTTTGACTAAATTATTTGAATTATTTACATTTTAGTCTGGAAATTTATTTTTAAGATTTATCTTTTTTTCTTGTTAAAATAAAGCAAATATTAGAATAAAAAAATTCCCTATGAACTTTAATAAAAAAAAATTCCCCATGAACCATTTATATTCAATTTAAATGAAGAGTTTATTTTTTATACTCATAAAATAAATAAAATAAAATTACAAACGATAACATATCTTATTTATATTGTTAGTATATATGAGTAAATTCGATCTCTCCATTTATGCATTAATATTAATGCATTCAAACAAATGATGATAGAAGATTTAATGGGAAAAAAAAATAAATGAGTGTATATCTACGTTCGAATTTTTCATTCTCCTCATCACTCTCCAAATATATTACATCTGTTTTGGATTTGGAGGCTCCCGATCAACGACATCCTGATAATTAGAATTAAATGTTTATTTAGATTATGATTGGCATGTTCAAATATCACTCTTTCCATTTCTTTCTCTTTTTGGTTTTAAATCCCGTTTACATGTATATGTGCGAGCGCATGCACATACATGATACTGATATGTAAGTGCATTGTAATATTTCATGAGAATGTATCTTTAGATTTTTCTGAACCATCTGAAAATAAAATCATAATAATTTGTACGAAGATTATAAGTGATATTATTCCATACTTGGTTTTGATGTTTGTTAGCTGTATTTCTAGTGTAACGCATGAGAGAGATTATAACTTAATAAAATGTCATAATAATGAAAATAGAAATTAATACAAATGTTCATGAGAATCTAAATGCTTTAATATCGGCCAAAAAATGCTTTAATTAAATTAAAACACGTTAATATCGTAGTCTATTAAGTTGATTATAAATTAAGACATATATGTAAATCTAACGATAAATTTTATATTGGATGTTGATTTTCTTTTTACCTTGAATGATATTGATTTGTTGACTATTAGTCTTCTATTAGTATTACTCAAAATGGTCAAATTAAGCAAGACAAATTACCAATTCATATTTATGCATGGTTATGGAAGTCACATAAAATAAAAACCAAATACAGTATTAAATGCAAATAATTAATGGGGAATGAATTCTACCAATAAGTAGCAGTGTTATACTGAACCTGACCAGATTCACTTTTATTTAATTACAATGCAATGCACATGGTGCAAAAATTAATTCACATTATGTGAGATGCATGCCACTGGAAAGTGAAATTAATTCATTCATTCATTCATGTTCGGCCAAAAATAAAATACATTCATTTATGTTTATATCTCACTCAAATTCTCTTAACAATTACCCTATCATAGCCTTGTAACTTTTCTACATCTCCACCATTAGATAACACTTACATTATGAATCAAGAGATCTTTCTTTAGGTTGTAATTTAGCTTAAGAAGGATAAACTGGAAATGCCTGTGAGAAACAAGAGTTAGGCACAAAAGTAATGCCTATTTTCAAAAAACCTCTCAATGTATAATGCATATAATAGTTCAAATAGGTGAAAATATTTACAACAAAATAATAAGCATTAAGGTAACAAGGAAAGAGAGTTTATTTTTAGGTTAAAATATAGGTTTGATCCTCCAATTGTATATAAGATTTCAATTTAGTCTTTTAATTTTATGAAGTATTTTTTTGGTTTTCTAATCCTAACACCGTTAGTTTAAAATGATTACTTTTTATGCTCGTAATAATTATTTTAAAAATTAAACTCAACACATTAATATTTAAGAATGTTTTATCAATATTTAAATATTTAATAAAATTTTTTTTTAACATGATGTCAGGGTTAAAGGACTAAAAATATATTTTATAAAGTTAAAAGAATAAATGTGCACTTTAACTTTAATTTTTTCATGAAAATGGTTTAGTCCTAAAGAAAATAAGGTTTTGAAAATTTTGTATAAATAATATGCTTGGAAGATGGAAGTAATTTAACTTTATTTTCATTTCCAACCCTTAAATATTTATATTTGAAAAAAACATTTAGGGCTTGTTTTATTTTGTTTCTATTTTTCATTTCTAAAAATTATTTTGTAAACTACTTTAAAATAATTTTAATATTTTTTCAAAGAAAAATAAAAATAAAATTTGTTTGATTAATGTTGAACTGAAAACAATTTTAAACTTAAAAAATTATGGTAATGGTTAGCCACGATCAAAGGTAGTTGTTAGCCAAGATAGCTAAAAATAACTCATGGCACAGGTGGACCTCCCCCTAATGGGCTTGGATTCAGAAATCATTTTACCTCAAAAGTGACCATTTCTTTGACCTCGTTAACTTCTATTAATATTGATGGAGCTAAAGGCGGTGCTTGAAATTAAAGCCCTTTTTTATTTTAAATTTTTTAAAATTAATGTCATCATTATAATATTACATATTTATGCTCTAAAGTACAAATTAATTTTTAAAATTTTAAAATACGTAATACAAATCTTATTCTAATATGAACATATAAGATACTGTTATATTGCAATTTTTTAAGTTTAAAATAAATATAGACTTAAATGAATAGCTTGATTGGTATTGAACCCTTTTGTTAAGGGCTTAAAAAATGCTAAACTCATAAGTCTTTTTATATTAAAATATTCAAATTTTCAAAGCCTGTTTATTAAAAAAGACTTAAACGGGTAGCCTAATAAACTTGATCCCTTATTCTTAATACTAGGTGTGGCTAAGATTGTCAACGACAATGTTGTTGCTGGTGGCCAGCAATGAGAACCAATGTTAATGACTAATAATGACTGTTGGTGGTAATTGATAATAGCTAATGTTTAATAAATAAATATAAAAGTTTGACTTGTAAATGATATTAAAAAATATTTAATTTTATTATGTGGGATCTAATTGTAATCTTTTTATATTTTTTGTTATATCAAGAAGCATATAAATATTCAAATAATTAACTTTTAGTAGAATTTTAAGTTCTCTAATTACAGTATAATTACAATATCAATATATTATATGTACATACGAACTCTTCTCTCGATTCAAGTTTACAATTCAAATCAAATTTGAAGTATTATGATGATTTGTGTTCACATGCTCATTTTCTTTGATGTTTACATTTGTATACAAGCGTGCAATGCAGTCTAATATAATATGATCAAAAATAAGGCGTTGACGCTAGTGCGAAAGCAATAAACTAATAATAACATTTATCTGTCATCATAACTGATAATTGAAAACTTGATGAATCTCTATATATTATAAAAGTCTGAATGATACTGCAGTGCTGAATGACGGATGTACGAAAATATGATTTATTATAATATTTTTTTATTATGATATTATTATGTCTATAAAGATTTTATATAACTGCACTAGTTGACAAATCATAAATAAAGTGACTCACTTTGAGAATTTTCTACTAGCTCATCCTAATGATATTGATGTTGACACACACATTAATCATTGATCATTGATGTTATTAGTTCATTATATATTCGTTATCAACTGTAATTATTATATTATTTCACTACTCCTACCATCCCTAAATATAACTCAATTTTTAACTCAATTTTTAAGCCCCTGTGACCTTTTGCAATACCTCTCCTTCAAAATCAAAATTATAGTTTGGCCAAAAAAAAAATCAAAATTATAGGATCGATGTTTTATATTATTTTCATAGGGATCCCTAGTCAATGGTTTTCTTCTCCAACCCTTGGCAAATAATTTTACCGTCCTAAAACATTTAATCATATCAGGGTAGATTTTGGAAAAGTGAAAAAATATTTAAACAAAATTTTGTATGTGAAAATATTTTTTTAAAAAATAAGAAATATAATTAGAAAAAATGAGAAAGATATATTTTCTTTAGTAAGGCAGAAAAAAAAAACTAAAAGCAATAACAAGACAGATAGATATATTTTTATTTGCTTTTAATTTGTTCATTGAATGCATTCATTAACGCAGTCATTGGATGATCTAATATATACATCTGTGTGTGTGAAATAAAAACTCAAATGATCATTAATGATCACATATTTCGCCTAGGTATGGCCGGTGGCGAGAAATTATTAATCAGTCAACATGACATGGATTGAAAGAAAATGACTAAGGAGAAAATTCAAATACTCAAAATAAAAACAAAAATGATAACAATAACAATAATTTATGTCCGGTTCCAATGAACGCTCTGCACTCTTGTCACACAACACAAGACTACTTGACGATGATCCTACGTACGTAGTCTTTCCTGGATTTATAGTAATTCATAACAAACTTTTATATGTATATTTTAACGTATTTGTTTTCAATATCTCTTTTATAAATTATTTATTTCATAACAAGCTCATTATTAATATTATCAATGCATTAAAATTCACTTATTTTGATTTGGTTGAATAAAAATATATGTTTCTATTGTTTTTGTGCGGGCATATGAGAGGAGTGCGTCCTTGAAAGGAACGATTTCTTAACTTCTAAACTCAAACAATGAGTTTTGAGGGTCTTTTATCACAATTTTTCCAAATAAAAAAAGAGACACGTGAGATTTGGATGGCAAGATTAGCCATGATATTATTAATGATAAAAAAAATAAATTTTAAAAATAAAAAAATGAAAATGAAAAGGAAAAGTGCTGATATGTTGTTACTGTTGTTCTGTTAAAAGCAAACGCTCTACTAGTTACTCGAAAATTCACTTCTCTCTAATGAATGCATTGCATGTTAAAGGCACTGTATCAAATCTGTTGAAGATAAAGGGAGTCTTACTAGGTGAAGTAAGGGATGATGTAAGAATAAGATTTGAGTTTTGCATTGAATGAGTAGATTGAGTTGTTAAAATGTTTAGAAAGAGGTTATGTAAAAACGTCAGTGTAGTTGAAGAGTTGAAGCCCTTGTATAACAACCTCTTTCCTAGAACCTTTAGATGAAATTTGGACAAAAATGACTCTTTTTAGCCTAACAAATTGGGCTTGGAGTTGAAATTAAATTTTAGCTCAAATAGTATATAAATGTACAAGATTATGTACATAAATTTTGTCCATTTTAAATTTCAAATACATATTTTGATGGTTGGTCAGGTGGCTTTTATGTGTTTGATATGTTATATCTAATATGTCGAATGATTTTTTTTTTTTAAATTTTAGCTAACAATAAGACTATTTGATATGGAAATTTATAATTACGACTATCTTAATCTCTACTTCAAATTCAATAAATTATAAATAATAAAAAGGTCACAGCTACCTGACGAAACAAATTAAAATCAAACAAAAATATGAAGTGAATCACGGTGAAAACACATGCGAGAAACAAATTATATTGGCTCGGACAATGAAATCAACGTTTACGGTGGAAATTTTTTTTACAAAATAAAAGTGAAGAAATTTTCATGATTGAAAATTATATTAATTTTAGTGATATATAGCTAAAATTTGAACCGTTACAATATTTTAAAAAATTAATATTTTATGTAAAAAATTATTTAAAAATTAAATACAATGGCACTCATAGGACTAAGCGGCCGGGAGCCTCCAAATTCAAGTCCCTTTGTAAAATTACTAAATTAGAAGAACTGTACAGGACAATTCTTATCAATGCGTACAATTCTAAATTGACAGAAACCACCATATCAACAATTGGTGGCTTTACTTGTCCACGTAACAAAGAGGCTTTTCTTGTTTTGGAGACACTTTTTTATTTTTTATTTTTTAACAAAGAGGCTTTTCCTGCAACATGTGTGTTGGTTTGGTCACATGAGGGTAGAGCAGCAGAATCTTTAATTTCCCTTCAAATCCCTCTAACTAATTAAATTGACCATTTAAAAAGGAATATAGAGAAAAGGAATCAAGATTCTCATATACCAAGCACTGTAAATAATTCATAACAGATTTAAAAAGTTTTAGGCTGTCCAGACAACAAATATATAATATTAAAACACACACACACACACATATAAGCAGAATGGCAATAAAAAACTTTTAAAATATATAAATCACAAGCAGGCATCGCAAAATATGAAGATTATTTTCTAACCCCTAGGGTCTTGTCTGACATTTTAATTTTTCATGAAATGACATATTTACCCTCTCATTCTCCATTTTTGCTGTTGCCCTTATGCCTGGATATATGCATGGAAGCTTGAATTTCGACCAAAGTTTCCGGTCACTCACCACCTGCTTCGCGTGCTTCCATGTCAATGCCCAAAATTACAAGCCTGTCAGAGAATCCTCCAGCTTCACCTTCGAGAGCATCACGTCCAGCCATGCACTACCCATTTGTTGTGCATCCATTTATTGTTCTTCAGGATCTCGATGAAGCTCTGCGCGGACGAGGATATTGAAGAGATTCTTGGGGCTTGATTGACATAAGCCTCTTGAAGGGGTGCAAAAGGGAGATATGTGCTCATCGTCATGATGTGTTTGAAGAACGTTGTGAGGAACACGAATTGACATCGTTTTTCCTTTATCCATTGTTGATCTGTTGAAATCTGTTTCGTTAATGTCTCTTTACTTTTGAATCTTGGACATATTGTTTCTGATTCAGATTTTGATTGGATTTTTTAAAATTTGATATTTTTTTAATAATATCTAATTATGTGTTTTGGATTGAAATATCTCGATTGATTTGATTTTTGGAAGTGAGAATATTTGGATTTTGAACTGCACTTGGTACTTTATTTGCTGCCATCGACTTCCATAAGCGAGAGGACATAGCGAAGCATATTCTTGCGATTGTGTTGCGCGTCAAAGAAAGCGATGGATTGGGCAACAATGGCGATAGGGGTGTCAATTAAAGGTGGGTTTGGATTTAGTGGTGGTGGTGTGGTGTAAAAATTGGAGGGGATGAATCGGTCCAAGAAAACACTAGAGAACAAAGGATCATAGGAGAATTGACGGTTTGGAGAATTTTTTCTCAGAAGGGATAAAATGAACTTTTCACATTAAAATTAATTGACAAACAAGCCTCTGAGGACTAGAAAATCATCATTACATTCTGTGATACTTATTTGTCATTTGTATATTTCGAAGGTTTTTTTTTTTTTTGTCATTCTCCCATATATTCCTTCCAATCCTATTGATAAGACATATTTTAAAAATAATTTTTAATCCAAAATATATGACTATTTTTAATAATTAATTTACTTTTTTTAATTTTATTTCTTCTTGATTAGCGTGAAGATATTTTACATAGTTGTATTATTATTTAAAATCAAGGATAAAAATAAAAGTATATATTACTTTTTTATAATATCAAAAAAAGAACTAACTCTTTTTAAGATGTGTCAAACGGTTGAAAATATCTTATAATAAGGATCGAAAAGAGTATGTATAATGCATTATCATTAAAAGAATATAAATCATGCTAGTAATTGTTCTCAAAAGGTTTTCATATTTTGAAAACATTATTAACAAAAATTAAGAAGAAATAAATGGGATTTCAAAAATTGATTGGTATTAAAAGCAATGTCAAATATTGAGTAATATGAAGAGAAATACAAATCATCTTCAAATGAAGTGCCAATTGACAAGAAATGTTCACGTGAAAGGAAGACTCTTTGTTGCTTGGGCGGAAAGAAGAAGCAATAATCAAAGATTCAGAAGGGGGGGGGGGGGGTTTAAATAATAGATTGATAAAACCTTGTTATTAATACGAGTGATGGCAAATTTGCAATGGACGAGGAAGGTACTTTGATGCGAAAGAAACACATTTTGTTCTAAGGCTTTCAAATGTATATCTTACTAATTCCCTTGCGTCATAATACCGTGAAAATTAAATTACTCGATTAGCGAAGAGGTTGTGGGCTTGTCTGTGTGTGTAAATTCTATTCACACTAGTACAATTTTTTTTTTTTACTGTGAGACAAAATTTTTTAAAAAACTATTTTTAATACATTAAATGTTACCCCTTGTTTATTGACATATGATTAAAATTCCTATAAACAATAATTATTATGATTATTAATTATAAAGAATGATGAAATTAAAATTCAAGTGTTTTTAAAAGAATTTATTGATATAATTGCCATTTTTAAATAAGCATGAAGTTGGTTTTACCTTGTATTAAGGAGCGAGAGTATGTGTGTGTATTTCTTTCAATTTTTATTATAGGGCACTTTTTAAAATGATTATTTAATCCTTGATATAAGACATTTGGTGGGATATTAATTGCATTTTATTAATATTATGCTTATTTAAACTCATTAATTATGAGAGATAATATAATACAAATTTAATTTTTTATTTAAATAAAGGTAAAATTAAGAGTTTATTTTTTTCAATATAAAATTAATGACTTAATCATTTCTCCTCAATTTTAATGAGATAAATAGAAATTAAAGGGAGTATAATCCTAAGAAACATCACTCTCCTGCATTAATGCATGGTTGTTAGAACTGGAGTTGCAAAACATCAATTTGCAGAATGCAATGACGAACCAAAAGCGAAGGACTATTTCAAGTTAACGATAATTATCATAAAACTTAGCACGCTTTTAAGTGTTGTCAATTCAATACCATAAATGCTAGTTTATCCAAAAAGATAGTAAAAAAAGGGTTATGTTATCCCACCAAGAAATAAACACTCATCATTGTCCATTCAACATTGTTAATTTGATTATTATTACTCCCCATGCAGGTTAAAACTATGATCATAATTGAAGCAATTTACAATGCTGGACACAAATAAAAAATTAAAAGTAAAGCAATTCAGAATACATAAAATAAAACAGTGCACAGACATGTGCAATTCCTTAAAAATAATAAGGCAATGAATAAAAAAGGAAGAATTAATTTGCAGGTCCTTATAGTTTTCCTTAATTTAATTTGCTAGTATGACACTCATCTTAATCTTTAAAAATAACGGTAATTTTTTTAACTTAATGGCAGGGTCACAGGAGCTCAAAATTTGAAAGGAAAGTTTTTGAATATTTTAGGAGTTCAAGGTTCTAAATACTATTCACGCAATAATTTACGATTTAAAATGCTCATTAATTCAAATTTAATTTAATATTTTTAGCCAAAATAAAAAATTATTTAATACGCTGTTAAAATTTTTATTATTTTTTTATGAACATTCTATAAGTATACAAATTGTTTAAAAGAAAATCTAATTATATAAATTGAGTTATAAAAATTATTTAATTAATTTATATAATCATTTAATAAAATATAAAAATTTTAATTTTTTAAAAAAATTCAAGGATTTTAATTTTTAGGGGTTAAAAAAATTAATTATGCAAACTTTAAGGATTCAATTAAAATAAAACAAAAGGTAAAGATTAATTTAAAAACAAAAAAATTATAAAACTTGCAAATATATTTTTTCTATAAAAAAAGTGATATAATAAGATTAGTGTTTTGGGTATATGTATATTGACCAGGTTGATGTCATAGGCCAGGGTACTATAGTAAAACTTTAATATCAAGTTAATGCAAAAGACTGTTTAATCTTTTCTCCTTCCACGATACATGCGTCCGCATGAGCACCTGGGGCTCATTAGGTTTGGGACAATTCTGGTCCTTCAATTTACTTTAAAATGATTTTTACTATTTATTTAAATTAATTTTTAAATATTTTTAATATTATATTTATTACTCTAAAAAATATAAAAAAATTAATGCTCATCAGAAAGTGAGTATCATAGTAACCATCACTTTTAAGGAAATCTGAACCGTTTAAATTCAAAATTATTTTTATTTTTATTTTATATTTATGAAAATAAAAATTTATAAAAATCATAAATTTTTTTTATAATTGTACAATTTGAATATCCAGGTAAACTCTAAATAATTCAGATATAATCTGAAAGACTTAATTTAATATTAAAAAATTTATAAATTTTATAAATTGATCATTTAAATGTGCTTTAAATAATCCAGATTTAATATTAAAATATTTATATTAATAAATATAATATTAAAAATATTTAAAAATTAATTTAAATGAACAAATCATGTTAAAATAAAATGGGGGCTAGGATTGCTTCAACCCCGGGTGCACCAACATACGGACCCAAAGTTTATGTGCGCGTGACGTGGACCCTCAATATTATCATTAGTTCTACTATTGGTGTAATTTAGGTAATTCATTTTTTGTTTTAAAAATTTAAAAAAATAATATTTAGTCATTTTAAGTTTTCCAGATTGCAGACAAAGAATCAAGGCGCCATGCTTCTTTTAGTGGGGGAGAAAAAAGTCCATGAGAAAGCCGAAGAAAGAGGCTTATGTTTCCAATGTTCTCTACTTAATAAACGAATTTGTTTAAAAAAAAAAGATATGAAGAAATAGAGAGAAATATAAAGAAGTCAACTCGTTAAATCTACGAATTTATAAAGAAATAGATAGAAATAATTTTTTAAAAGAAAAACTAAATTATGGCTCAAAGTTTAAGAGTTAGATCTTTTTTACAGCCGAATAAGAGCATCCATTTGAAATATAAAATTCAAATATTGAAGACAATCGTGGTAACCATCATGCATTTGTTACAGATGAGAGTATATTCATTTCCGGAATAATTTTAATGATTCATTTCTATTTCACTTGGCATGGTTGAACAAATAATTAGTTCCAATGTGTAAGTGAAAATCATTTTCACCTGCTGAATATGAATTTAAAGATAGTGAGACTACGTCCCTTGAGGGTACAGTTTCAGAAAGAGGCGAGAAAAAGAGAGAAACTATCTTCTAATGCATGCGATTCAAACAAATATTCTGATACTGTGATTCAATGGAGATACCATCTTATTAATTCCCACATACTATGCCCTATCTCTTGACGCCATCAATCAATTCCTTGCAAAATTAAGAAGATCTAAGTCCATTACACAATCAGATTAGATCAAGAAGATTTTCCTTAAAAAATATTTATCAAGGAGAGAATGAGAGAAGAGAAATAAAAAGGCCCCAGAAAAATGCAGCTCATGACAAGAAGTGACCAGAGTTCATTATCTTTACCAAGACAAAAAGAGAAACATATACATGTATGTGAGAGATGAATAAAATCATCTCGTAAAAATATCATTCATGATAGATTAGTGTGAAAATCATAGAAAGTACACGTCAGCCTTCATTGTACATCAGTCGGATGAAGCGTCTTGTCTTTGAAGCCGACACATTATCACCCCTAGCCACCTCCAGATTTGAGCGTATTACTCAGCCTACAATAGAAAGCTCATCACTAACATTGCACACCACGAAAGCTGGTGGTTGCAAGAACAATGTACCATAGTTTATCAGAAGCATGGAAAGTTCAGATTGGTAACAAAATAGGGTTTCAATCTTATTTGACTCACCAGTCCATTCCTTCAAAAAGTCCTTCGCCTTTCATGGCAGAAGTTTTAAAAATAGCCCATTCGCGATTTTTAATCTTGTGCAATTCTAGAGCCTCCGTCACTGCAGCATCATCAAGGGCACCTGGGAGGTCCTGTATCAGAGATACATTTACAAGTAAATCACATAATCAATTCTTGAAATGTGATATGGACAGAAAGTATGTTGAAGTATGCCACTTGTTCACTCCTGAATATATATTTCATCTATCCTCACGTCCAATATTGATATTTTCTTTTGTAAAATGTCATGTAGTAAAGACTTCAGCAAATTAAAATCTTTTGTACTCTGTATTTATATAGTCTTTTGCATTATTCACAAGGTCTTCTTCCTTTTCCCCCATCTGTCCCTTCCCCTTGACTATGAGAACCCTACAAACAATAATTCACTTACCTGTTTGTTTGCAAAAATGAGAACAACTGCACCTTTAAGCTCTTCCTCCTGATGAAAAGTTCCAGCAAAAGTAATAAAGATAGTCAAATTTATTAATAGCCCTAGAATTTCAATCATCAAAAACAACATAATGAGCCATGTAAATCGGCAAAGATAAACAGGCAACAATATATCTATCCATTCCAAGAGTAAACATCAAATAAGAGGGAAAAATATATTATTTAATATTGATATAAAATTACTTTCACAAATAAAGCGTGCACTAAAGAAGATTTATGAAGCTTAAATAACTTAAAAGTTGAAATTGACTATTTGGGCACCGACCACGACCAGTATGCTAATGACGGTATCAAATTACTTGGTTAAACAAATAGCTAATACATACTACAGAAATTGCTCGAGCACTCATTTCTTATCACCAAGCCAAGGTTGCTTATGAGAAGCTATTTTTTATCAGACATTTCAATCTTTCAATTCAGAGCAACCATTCCTAAGTGGAAGTTGGTAAATATAACTACAATATAAACTTCAAATCCACAGCACATGTGCCAGAATGGGCCATAGTGCTAACAATTTTTTACAACACCTGTCATGCCTTCCAAGTATTGGTTTACTCATCATATTTATTTTTAGATTATGAAGTAGTTAAGGGTTCACATCGTGTAACACATTGCATATATCTCGACTTCAACTATGAACAGCAAACCTCCAGAATAGCGTGAAACTCTTCCTTGGCTATCACAAGCCTGTCAATGTCACTTGAATCAACAACATAGATGATTGCTTGAGTATTTGGAAAGTAACACCTCCAATAAGGCCTGGGATGAAAAACCAAAATAAAAAAGATGTAATGTTCATGAATCCAATTGGAAGTTTATTTTCAACAAATCAAGGGGAAAAGCAACATAGCCTAGATATAAATTAACAAAATAAAAGTTCATCTTTGATCACGTATCCATGAAGACAAAGCGGAGTCTACCATGAATGACAGAGCAATTCTAGTTGATTTTCAAACTTAATTATATGGTTACCTTTTACAAGTTGTGGCTACCATAATTTCAACACAAGGATGTCACCAAGTATGACAAAATTCCAAACTATTGGGACATTGGATTCTGATAGCAAAACTTTATTCATAGACCCATTTTCAATGTCCTCACGTCCATAACCCACCTATCTTCTTAATATTTTGTCAATTATTTTTTATTTACTTAAAGAAAAAAAAAAATTCAGTTAACGCAACATCACTTAACAAAATCATCAACCACAAGATTCATTATTAAATTAACAATAATGCTAGAATTCATCTTCAATAAATATATTATACAATTTCTAAATATCTGCTTAGTAACAACACATGGTTCCAATGCTCTTATCTTCTTCATCATGCATATCAACTGGCAATTAAGTAGAACAGCTACCTAGGATTTTGTTCAAACCAAGAAATTAATATGGTCCAATGGAGTAATATCTTAAGTGAAAATTGGGGAAATAGTAAGAAAACCCCAAAACCTGACATGTTAACTGACAACAAATAACTGAAGTTTGGCATACTTGTGTCTGAAAAACATATTTCGTACTAGTTTGTCATGACCAAATTTGCCAACAATTTCCCAATACTTTCCTATCAAAAGGGAATCAGGGGAAATGGAAGGATAGTGCGAAAAATGATATATCTCCTTTAAGCTCAGTGAAGCAAAACAGAATCCAAAAGGCTTACCTAATACTTGTTTGCCCACCTGTTTCAAGAAAAGTATGCTATCAGAACAAGAAACAACTCCTCTGATGTTAAAAATACACGCCAATTCTCAAGAAATTATAAGCTTATATTGAGAACAATAAACTAAGAAGAAAGCAAAGAAGTCCTATTGTTGTCTGAGTTAGCGTGTTTATTTCCTAGAAGAAATAGAAAATAGGAAGGAATAAAAAAAGGACCAACATGAAACAGGACAAAATTATTGCTAGGTTCTCTATGTCTTCCTAACCTAATTGATCTCCATCAACCTGAAACAAGACAATATTATTCCAAGGTTTTCATGTATTTTTAACTTATCTGACTTCCAGGAACATTTAATGATACCAATAGACAAATATACAATAGGCCAAAAGAAGACGAAATGTCATCTACTAAGTTTTATGTGGTGCACTAATACTATCTACCATTAATACCAAAGCGTTTTTTTCTGACATCAGCTCATGTCTGCACAATGGGACAGCCTGAGAGCTTCATTGGTTTAATTCCTGGTCACCTATATTTCACTGCAAGGATGGACTCAGGAATGCCAGGTGGATAATTATTTTTAGGATTCTATGCTATCAATCTATCATATATAAGCTTAAAATCTCCCGGTCGTTTTTATTGTAAATCCAATAAAAATATATGCCAGCTATATCAAGTAAACAAGTTGCTTAAGTCCTTACCTAAATCCCAGACTTGAAATTTAATATTGTTATATTGCACTGTTTCGACATTAAACCCAATTGCTGCATCAAATAACAAAAAAAAATCTGTCAGTAACTAACTATACATAAGGGAGATGTCAAACATCATATATACAAATTTCCGCATTCTAATTCCTATTTTCCGTATCTTGGACCAAGAAATATGAGGATTGACGTATTATACGTATCTGTTGGGCAGAACGATTTAGCTTTAACAGAAAAAGTTCCTAGAAATGTAACAGGATAAAAAACTCCACTAAAATCAAAATTCAAGATTAAAACATTTGCTCTATAGCTGGCAACCAATGTAGACAAACCAATTATTCAAAAAGAAAGCATGATTCGTCCAAATCTAAAACGAAGAGAGTACTAACTTGGAATAGTTGAGACAACTTCGCCCATCTGAAGCCGATCTATAAAGGTAGGACATAAAAAACCACGTATCAATTACAGAAAAGTAATTATTAAATCAAAATTCAGTCAGGGTGGACCAGCTCAGAGCTCGCATGCATACATAGAATTGTTGTTTTTCCCGCATTGTCGAGACCAAGAACAAGGATTCGAGCTTCCTTGCTACCGAATAGGGAAGAAAACAATTTCGTAAACACCAAACCCATGTTCCGATTCCGGAGAGGGACGGGCAGAATGCTTTAGTGCATGAATAGCATTCAAATCACTAGAAAATCATCACTAAGTTGTTTTAGCAGAAAATCAGATCAGATCCTAAGGCAGAGCCCTGATGCTCCCTGCAAAATCACGAAGAGTAATCAATGTCACTATGACTACGATTCTGAACAGCTTACAAGGACGAGTGAGGAGAATTCGCGTGCCTGAGAAAACAGGAGAGGGCCTGCGATTGAATTGCGAGAGAAGAAACAAGACGGATGATAGAAAAGTTGAGTGAGTCAAGCTTAGCTTATCTCTCACAGGAAAAGGAAACGAAAATCGGGAAGGAAATGGAAGCATGGAACAAACGGAATTAGAGGGAACCAGGCAGGATGCTTAATTCCCGAGTCGTTCGGGACCTAGTCATCTCTTGTGCATTGCGGGTCATGTGGTCTGGGCGGCGCTTGCATCGTTGGGCTTGGCCCAAATCACTCAATAACTAGAAATTTTTCTTTTATGAATTTATATAATGTCTGACATTATTGAGCTAAATTTAAACAATAATAGCAACCAAAATCATAATTATTTCGCCCTATATATATATATATATATTTAAAACATTTAAATCCTTAAGAATCGAGTCTTTTCCTCTCAACTATATTACCGTCAGGCGTTAGTACTAAAGAAAATACTTCCACGATTTTCTATTCGCTGGGAAAACTAAATATATTTTTTTAATACTTGGAATATTTATTAAGTAAAATGAAATTATATATAAGACAGAGAACAACCCAAGTTACTTAAACTTTGAGTGTTTTAAAATTTTTGATTTAAATTTCAATATATTACTTTAAGATTATAGAAAATATGAAAAAAAAAATTTATTTACGATGGGTTTTGATTTTGCACAAATAAATTTAAATAAAATGAAAAATACCATTGGGATGCGTTCTTTAATTATTGACAGAGAGGAAGCCCGAGTAAAAGCTAAGTAACATTAACAAGTCAATTCGTTCGTAGACTTATTTTGCCGTGGTAAGTGAGCGATCCATTATTTTAAGCCAGAAATCTGTTCACCAAGCACTTTAATATACATGCAGAAGCACGTGGATCTTAGTCTTTTCCACGTTTTATTATTAAAAAAAACAGAGACGAAAAATAAAGAAACTAGCAAAGCCTATAAATCTGAACTACTACTGAAAAAAAACGATTATCGATACAGAAGCCCCACGTAGCTAGATGCTGCTTCCTACATAGCAGACTGAAAGATCATCTCTGCTAGCTCCTGCAACACATCGCACAAAGACGTATTAAAACTTATGGCAAGAGACGTAAGCAAAGTTTTTGATTGCAGTTAATACTATGCACAGGACAAATAAAAAAATAAACAGCATTCTTTGATTTTTCTCCTCTTAAGCAGAACAACACAATCATTATTTTGCACTTTGCAGTACCTGTTTAGCAGAAGAAACCTTTGGTTCGCCAATTTCTTTGACTTTCTTCTCAAGCGTTTCAAAGTCAGCTTTACCAGCCTATTGCAACATACATTACCGTTAGGCAAGAGGGGAATTCAATGAAAAGAAGGGAAAAAAGAGAGGAGGGAAAGGAAGTCACCTCTACTTTGAGCCCCTAGATCGGTGTCAAAACTGTGATATCTCTTGCGTACAAGCTCAGCGAGAGAACCATCCTTTATTTTGACATAATGAAAAAGATTTAGTTTCACTCACAGGATAAAACAAATAAATGTGAAACTTCCACAACGAATATTCCAAACCCCTGGAATCTAGAATAAAAGCTACAGGGCTCTACGCTATATCACCTCGATTAACTTGGCAGCATTCCGGAGGCCTCGTGCCATGGTATCCATTCCAACAATATGGGCAACGAACAAATCTTCTACGTCTGTGCTCTCTCTCCTCCTAAAATATTGTTTTGTACAGATATTTAGAAAGAAAATGAATAAATGTGCACCAGAATTATATCAGATGCGAATAACCCCACAAGCAAAAACTTCACGGTTCCAAAAGAAACTAGGCTACTCACAGTTTTGCATCGAAGTTGAATCCACCTGGTGCGATTCCTCCCTGGCAAAGATAAAATAGACAAGAATCGAGACAAATGAGTTTGCATTTCTAATTACAAGGTTTATCACATATCATAATGCAAGTAAAGACACGTTTCTTACATTTTTAATCACACTGAGCATCACCATTGTGGCCTCTCCAATATCTGTCAAAAACTGATCTGTGTCCCAGCCTGTAATATTGAGAAAGGCTTCACATTATAACTGTCTATCTCAAGGGTTATGACAGCAAGAAGTCAAGATTTCTATGGTAATGCACTAAAAAATGCTACTTTTAGATTGAAAAAGAATCTACATACCAACTTGAGGATCACCAGTATTTGCATCAATATTTCCCAGCAAACCATTGATCCTTGCAGTTTCAAGCTCGTGATGACAGCTTTTATGTTGACAGGATTTCAAGGTTTACGTACAGGTCCACAATTTCAGAGATGAATATCACATTGAAAATAGCAAATACAATCAAGAACCTACTATACTTTACAGTGTTTGTCTGTTTGATTTACCTGTGACCAGACAGGGTGGCATGGTTGCACTCGATGTTGAGTTTAAATTCTCCTATAGAGGGGAAAAAAAAAAACCGGATTGAGCATATAGTAGGCTGACAGTTCTCAACACAAGACATGAAGAACATTTTAATTATAATACAAGAGTCTCATGCTTAAACCCCAGTTTTGTTAGCTTCGTTTCAGCAATCAGTCAGTACAACACCCTAGTTGGTTCTCTATTTACTTAACACGTATCAACTGAAGAAATGCTAGAATAAACTGTCTAAGTTCTTTTGAAAGAAGGCCAATGTGGTCATAAACTTGGCAGTAGTGGAAGAACAAATTCACACAACCATGTCAAGGACCAATTACTAAGCACTACAAGGCAGACTATAGCATTTAGATCAGAGGTGTTGAAATATAGCAGGAAATGGTTGAGAAAATAGCATCTGTTTATTTAAGGACAACAATTTATCATGGAAAATTTATGAGAAATCCAACAGCTGGCTCTTGAGAAAAAACAGCTAAATGAGACAGATAAAAATTACCTATAAGTCCATATTTCCGCAAGAAATGGCAGTGGTTGCAGCATCCCAATCATATCTACAGGAATACAAGGTCGTAATTTAATTAAGATGTGAAAAAATTCCTGATTTAATAACAGACAGGAAAGAAAAGTACTGATGTTTTGTAGGTTCTTGTGGCTTGGGTTCAATCAGCAGTGTCCCTGCAATCATACAGAGGAAAACAAACCTCATAAGGAAAAGAGAGAGGCAAAATAAAAAGAAGTTTAGCATAATGTAAAACGAAAATAAGCATATTTACCATTAAATCCGATCTTCTTTTTGTAAGCAACAGCAGCTTCAAGAAACCTGGCCTGTAAGCAGATGAATTAACAGTCAACAATATGCAACTTGTTCGAGACAAGCTATTGAATGCTTAGCACAAGCATCCGTTTCAAGAGATAAAGCATCTTGTGGGGTTAACAAGTTATTGAATGCTTAGCATAGCCTTTCACTTTTACAGCAATCCTGCTCTTGTTTTCTTGATAAACAGATTCAAGGTAATGAAAGCATAACCAATAAAAATGGTTTGCAGATAGTCAGGGACACACCAGATGATTAAGTTCCCGTTCCATGTCTGTGTTCAAGAGAGATTGATAACCTTCACGGCCGCCCCAAAAGACATAATTTTCACCTCCCAAGTAATGTGTGACCTACAATATGTATATACATCAGTACATAAAGTTGGTTCCAAAATAAAAACGGCACCTGTATAGGTAAACAAAGGAAGGTACCTCCATTGCCTTCTTCACTTGAGCAGCAGCATATGCATACACTCCTAATTCAGAGCTGCAAGGCAATCCATTTTGTGAGACATAAGTCCATTAATAAAAACCATACAAGTCAGGCCATATATAAGTTACCTAGTGGCAGCACCATGCATATAACGGGGATGCATGAACAACTGAGCTGTTCCCCATAAAACTTTCTTGTTACTCTGTGTGGAGAAAGAAAATAGTTATCCCAAGCATAAGGGAGCTTCACATTCACTAAGGACTAATGAAATATACATATCTGAGCATAATTTGTGGAAAAAGTACCATTTACCTAAAACTATACAAGGATTTGAACAAAGTCAATACACATAAGAACTCGTGGAGTTTTGTGTTGCAAGATAAAAGCAATATAATAGTCTACATCTTAATAACGTCCCGATCATATAATAATTTCCTTCTATCACACAGCACATCATGTCAACACAAGTTATAACTATCGCATGAAATGCCTCATAACACATGAGGAGGAAATACACACTTGGTTTTGTATTAGCAAACTGAAAGCCATGTTGATAAACAATTGATTTCTGCATTACACTAGCTCCAAAACATTCATTATAAATATATACAATCTCATTTGAAATGCCAAATAGTAATTCACGTAAATTTGTACAATCATTTGAGCCTTGGCAGTAGTTATTAGAACAGAGCGATCCTTTATCTACCTGCCAATGATGCCTGTAGAATTTAATAAACATGAACTTGTTTGATGATGTCAAAAAAAATACCTCTTTCTGGAGTTTACTGGCAAGGGCCACCACTTCATCTAAGTTTGCATTAGCTTCCTGTGACACATAGCACAAATCCAGAGACTCAGAAAGCAGATTAAAACCTTAAGCAAGATAGCAGACAAATACTCAATAAAACAAGTCCCATAAACTACAAGCATCGTTGGAGAGTTCTATTTTCAGGAACAGAAAATTGAAAAACATAAGCCATTGCCTCCGGCACGTCACATTGAGAATCATTAAAAGTTGACTCACCTCAAGAGTTTTCCCATCAGGGGCTATGTCCCTATCATGGAAGCACCACCAATCCACTCCAAGCTTGTTTAGGAATTCAAAGTTAGCTCTCACTGCGTGAATTAAGGGAAATCAATCTCTTATCATGCATAAATATTTTAATGAATATGAAGTAGATCAAAGAATCATGTAGTAACGTACTTCTTCTTTTAGCCATATTTAATGAATTGGTACCGTCTTCCCACGGCCAAAATTTGGTTTGTGCA